AAACACTGCATTAGATGTTCCTGTTTCAAACAGTTGAAAATCTCTCCATTCTGGCTCCCTTACTTGCCCTAGACAGACAGACAGACAGATTGTACAATGACAGGGAATCCATTTCTTACTTATATCTTCATCCTATAGGCTAAGACACAATATCCTGGATGGAACTCAAACCTTCATTTTACCAAAGGAAGCTTAGTTTGATCTCTCCTGTCAATGTCTTTTCAATGTTTTATTTCAAACTCTGCAGACTCAAGACCTCACTGGACAGTAGAGAGTTTCCTTTCCTGTGTCCTTACAAACTTTATTTCAATCCAAACAGATGGCCTGATGAACAGAATGGGAGGTTATGAACGCTTAATGCACCAGTTTTGGTGCTGTTCTGCACAGGTTCAACAGCACCAAAAGTCCACAGTGGCAAACTGTTTATCTGCAGGAAGCCTATAAACATAATATAACTCCAGAGATTTTTTCTTCTTCTGTGAACATTGCCTCCAAACACCAAGATTGCACTGAACCATCAGAATTAATGGCTCTGAGCTGTAGCCAGTAAGTCTTTTCCTTTGATCAAAGATTTTAACATGATCGCTCTGATTCATCCGCTATTCAGTCATCTGAAGGCCAAAAGTAACAGGGAAGAAACATCTCATATAATCATTTTTGGAACTTCTAATGAGATCCCATGCCACCTGCAGCTTTATTTCTGTTATAGCAAGAATCCACATCTCTGCGTCAAAAGAGTATTTATCATTCAAACAACATAAAACAGCAGCCACTCTGTTCTTTTGCAGAGTTTGCAAACACCCCAAAAATTACTGGCTTCATTTCCTTCAACCAAAATGGTGTAACAACCATGATGATTTTTGCAGGCTTGTGCATCTGTCTCCTAGCACCCTGCAGCTAGGGACTGTCCTTGGGCCCTTCAGCATTAACAGGAGAATTCCAGCATCCCCCTGGAAATTGATGCGACGGAGACAAGGGATCGACCCCATGCAGCCTCCGCTTGCCCTACTCCATTTGGTCCCATCATGTTCACGTGTCCTTGGGGGTGTTGCACATGGGGGCTACAAGGAAGTAGAACTGGTCAAAAAGTGGGGAGGTCTACGATCCAACTTTTCCTCCAAGAAGTCCTCCAGATTATTGTACACCAGTCCCATATTCTCACCTGAAATAATCTGGATCAAAAGAAAAAAACTACAGGCATCAAAGACGTAACTAGCACACAGGGGAAGGCTAATCAGTGAAACCCCTCATGGTGGCCATCTTTCCTTTGGATGATGTTTTGTGTACCCACTGTGCCACCTGCTGGACATTGTAGACTTGGTGGCAAGCAAAAAGCAGCCTTCTGGCACGTCCAGCTCAATTTCACGGAATGTTCTGTTTCTACTAACTTGAGCTTTTACGAAGAAAAACTTCTATTTATGTTGAGTAATCTGAAGCTTCAAAACGGAAGATGCGAGATACATTTGTGAGCCAAATCGTTCCAGTGAAATCCTTTTTCTTTAAGTGCTGAAGGCCTGGCTGGTTTCCGGGCACTTGATATTCTGAGCCCCACTCCTTCTTGGAAAAGGAAATCAGGACTGAAATGTCGAAAATAGCCCCTCGCTATTGGAAAACGCCAGTGGGAAGGTTGGGAATCTAATGATCCGAAGGCAACCTCACACCTGGATGAACAGGATCTAATAATGCTTCCCCAGAGATTCACAAGGAACCAGCAGTTTATGTACAATAGGCCTCCCACTCCCTGTTTACAGGCAGTAGCAAAGAATAACCCCATATTTCAACAGCCTGAATGATAACTTCCTTTTCGAGATGAAAACTTTGCTTTTCTTAAACTAAACAGTCCAAAGTGGTAGGAGTCTGAGAAGCAAATCGCCTCTTGAGATTCTAATAGTTAAATTCTTTCTGAAAAAGGAAGCTTGCTTGCTTGCTTGTTCGTTCTTTCTTTCTTTCTCTTTTTCTTTCTTTCTTTCTTTCTTTCTTTCTTTCTTTCTTTCTTTCTCTTTCTTTCTTTTCTTTCTTTCTCTTTCTTTCTTTCTTTCCTTTCTTTCTTTTTCTTTCTCTCTCTCCCTCCCTCCTTCCTTCCTTCCTTCCTTCCT